TCCTCCCTTCTGCCTTTGAAGTTATGCATTCTTACCTCGCTACATCACTGGAGGTCTACAGCTGCCTCGGAGGAAGGTGAGGTTAGCATTACTGATATATATATATAAAAGAAAAGAACAAGGTGTTTGAAAGAACAATGAGCTCTCGAGGTGTAAAAGCACCAGAAATTAAGAGTGACGGAAGAGCCACTTCCCAAAATAGCGTTGAGTTTAGTGCTCCTCTGATGTTTGGGGAAATGAACAGAATGAAACTCAAGGACTTTATGGGAGATTTAATGGTGGATTCTTTCAACTGATGACCACAGATTTACTCGCCCTTGTGTCGCTCCAAACCTGTATGGCTTCTGTGGAGCACAGAATAAGATGTTTAGCAGAATATGTTTGTGTTGATCTTTTCTATACAAGTAAAACATATACTTAAAGATGCGTTAATTTCTACTGTCACATCGTTTCTTTCATGGTCGTTTTCACGCCAGACCGCAGGGATCATCTCAAAACTGAGTCACGCTCCACCCTGACCCCTGTGGGTCGCCACCACAAACCCAGATCTGAAACCAGTCCAGACCTCATTTAATGACTCAATACTTTACAACATAGGGCATTTTATACATACGTTCCTTGCGTCAAGGCTAAAATGTCAAATTGCAAGGCATTCATAACCCAATAGATAAGGAGAATTCCCATTTTTCTTGAAGAAACTCGCAGGAACCTGAAGATATTTGCATGCTTATAGTTTGCACAGAACTGATGTGCATAACGTTCCCCATGTGGCTTGAATCAAACATCTTTCCAAAATAAATAAAAGGGGTGTCTTGTGATGCTCTGAGATGCACCGATAACAGATTTCAGCTGAGATTCTTCATATATCAGGACCTATCTCCTAAAAAAGTCAACTGTTCAACACAATCAACAGCAAAATATCCTGTTCAACAAATGATCAATTAATTTTCATTCTTAGACATAATATTTGTCTCTGAAGAAAATGTCTTGCACAGATATTATACTGTGCAATACGTGCATTCAAAAGTTTTGAGTTAAGTAAGATTTTTTTTTAAGAAATTAATACTTTTATTAAGCAAGGATGCATTAAATTGATCAAAAGTGACAGTAAAGACATTTACGATGTAAAAAAAGATTTATCTTCCAAATAAATACTTTCTATCCATCAATGACTCCTGAAAAATAAAATGTATCACGGTTTCCACAAAAATATGAAGCAGCACAACTATTTTCAACGCTGATAATAATCAGAAATGTTTCTTGAGCAGCAAATCAGCATATTAGAATGATTTCTGAAGGATCATGTGACACTGAAGACTGGAGTAATGATGCTGAAAATTCAGCTTTGATCACAGGAATAAAATACATTTTACAATATAGTCTAATAGACAGCAGTTATTTTAAAATGTAATAATATTTCACAATAGTACTGTTTTGAATATTTTTGATCAAATAAATGCAGCCTTGGTGAGCAGACTTTTTTCAAATACATAAAAAAAAATTACCAACCCCAAACTTTTGAACAATAGCCTACTGTAGATGTACACAACACACAAACATCAAAAACAATAAAGCACAACAAGAGCAATAGGACAAAAACAGCAACAACTGCATAAATAAAGTCAGCAAACAAACAACCAATGATCCTATAGCAATAACTGCATAATTTATCACACTGCAATGCAGTGCAATGCTGGGAGATCACAAAACCCAAACAAACTGCCTGTTTAGGCTAGTTGGGAACACGTTAATTGTTATCTAACTTGTTTTTACATTTTATGACCCAAAAAGCCTCATATAAAATGCAGTTCCTGTTTTTATAATGCACTGTGTTCCCGAAATAAAACATGGTGTTGTTTTAAAAAAGACAGAGATGCAGAGTCAAAGCCAATCAAAGCGGCATCGACAGGATTAATGGAGGAGTGAAACAGAGGCTTCTTGATGGGACCAAAACCATATTAAAAACAACTGGATCATCATCTAGTTTTCGCAGGATTTGTCATCTCTCATAAACAAACCATCTCTAGGACAAACTCCAGCCGTAGCGCAACACCATCTCGAATCCTGCTTGTAATTATTGCCTTTCAAACAAACAATCCGGCAAAAACACATTTAATTAAAAGTATTCTTTATAGTATATTGAGAGCATGTACTGACAAATATTTTGTATGTTTTCAGATATTCTGGCCTCTAAATATGACTCTGTCAAGCAAAAAAAAGGCAAGTTTGATTAGTCAGAAAAGCAATAAAGCACATAATTTAAGGAGTCATTAAAGGAATAGTTTAGAATTTACTGAAAATGTGCCCAGCCACAGGCTATCCGAGATGTAGATGAGTTTGTTTCTTCATCAGGTTTGGAGAAATGTAGCATTCCATCACTTGCTCACCAATGGATGTGAATGGGTGCCATCAGAATGAGAGTCCAAACAGCTGATAAAAACATCACAATAATCCACACCACTCCAGTCCATCAATTAAATTCTTGAGAAGACAAAAGCTGTGTCCGTCAGAAAAAAAAAATACACCATTAAGACATTTTTAAATTCAAACCATTGTTTCTGGATAAAATATAAGTCCATAATCCATAATATTGCTTAAATAAGGAGAGAATTCTGCACAGATAAGCATCATTTACAAGCCAAACCAGTTCAAAATCTAAACAAATATGTGAGCGGATTTTGATGTGAGAGACAACAGGAGATGGACTTTTTCACTGGCATTAATTTCAATTATGGACTCATATTTCAGCCAAAAACAACAGTTGTCTTAAAAGGGTCTTAATGATGGATTTGTTTCTTACAAACACACAGCTTTTGTCTTCTCAAGATGTTAACTGATGGACTGGAGTGGTGTGGATTACTTGAGGATTATTGTGATGTTTTTATCAGCTGTTTGGACTCTCATTCTGACGGCACCCATTCACTGCAGAGGATCAGTTGGTGAGCAAGTGATACAATGCTACATTTCTCCAAATCTGATGAAGAAACTAACTCATCTACATCTTGGATGGCCTGAGGGTGAGGATATTTTCAGCAGATAAGATATTCCTTTAATGTCTGGAGCACAAGATGTTTGTTCCAATCCCTTTGAGTAAAAGTAGTAGTGATGCCTGCTAAGCAAACGCTGCTAATAAGGAAAGTATTACATGAATCGAAAGCAGACCGTGTGTACAATTTTCACAAAATACAGTCACAAGATTAGTCAGAAAACATCTCATTCTTTATCATCTTCCTGGAAAGGATGTCGCATCCTCTTTGGGCGCAAACATACTGTTCGACACAACCTGTCAGATGTTGAGGGGGAATCAAAAGGAAAGGGAAAGCGGGCTCAGCGCACAATGTGGTTCTGTTTAGGGGCGAGCCGCATGGGTCTCGGAGAAAGACGTCTCTGCCAAGAACATTACTCCTATCTCATTCCATTGCATTTGCTCCAAGGACGAGGGGGATCGGAAAACACGCCACAAATCATTTAGCACTAGAAGCACATGGACGTATTTTACATGACGTAGGCGTTTTAATCACGAGACGTGCTCAAACACAGCTATGCACTGATTTCTTCAATTAACTTTTATGACATTGGGAACGAACATATTTTTACCGAATCTCCCACGTTTTTGACTTACTGAGGGATAAAATGAGCACAATAAATGCAAGGGTGATGGAGGCTGTTCTTGAAATTGCTCAGGCAACAAAGGCATCTATGTTTTTTAAACCTGCTGACTCAGTTTGGCCGTTTCAAAAACGCTGTCGCTCGCATTTGGGTTGCGCTCAGCTGTTCGACCACCCAGGTGGCGCGTCAACCCTAACAGCCAATTAAAATCAGGCAAGCTAGATAGCAGTTAAGAAACTGAGTGAGAAAACAAAGCTTTGTTAACACTGGATTATTCACCCTTTAAATATGATGACGTGTTGAACCTGAATGACCTTCAGTCAGTTTTACTTTAGTTTGACTTTTTAGTCATAGCAATGTAATAAGTTTTACTTTAATTGTAAAACTCAGCTTTTTGTTGTTTTTGCATGCATGTGCTGTGGAAATAAAGTTGGTATAAACCATACCAAACTATTCAGATCGAGATAAATGACACCAAACACTAAGACAATTTGAAATGTTCGATTCAACTTTTCTCTCAAATTGTTATGTTGACAATATAAATGGTAATGGTAAATGTTTGAGTGCAAAAACACGCAAAATAAAGTCAGCATATACAAACACAATCTAAAACTTTTTCAATTCATCTTTTCACCAAGATTGTTGTGACAAAATAAACTGTAAAGAAAAATAATAATATTTTGTTTATAAAAAGCTACACAAATGCTACAGCAAAACAAAAACTTTTTACTATGCACATTTTTTTGTAGTAAAAATGCATTTCTTTTGCAGTTATGTACCATTTAAAAATATATACTACATATAACAAATTATAATAAATTATATAACAAACTTTTTTTTGCATTTTAAGTCAATCCTTTACATTTACACTGTCAAAAATATGATTATATTTAATAATATAATTGTCAACAATTGTACAACATTCTATGTTTGAACATTATATATATATATGTTTATATAGTTCATAATGTATATGCCTTTTGCAAATAGCATTGTTTTAAGTGCTATATAAAAAAAATGAAAGGTACTACAAACATTAAATACTATGGTTGTTCATGTCAGGTAAAATGTTGCTTCGTGATGGTTGTGGCTTTTATGTGTAGGCAAATCCTTCTTTTGTCATGAGTAAATCACTTAATCAGTCCACTTCATTACTACATCGATCACTGGTTACAAAGATATAGAGAGGAGAAATTTTACAAAAGATCTAAATCACATACTTAGCTTTCTCTTTCATTCACTCTTTCAGTCGTGTAAATAATGGTTGGCTGCAGTGCAGGGGGGCAGTCAGCGGGTTCAAACCCCCTCCTCTATGGTTCTTCTACCAAAGCACCTCCCCTCGACCTATCGAGGGTAATTCACTTACTTTTCTCTTTCTCACAAGGGCTACAGTGCAGTTTTCCATTCAGGGGAACATATCCCGTGACAATAACTGACTCCTCCAGGCACTGCGAGGCATCTGAGGTATTTCTGCTTCAATATCCTGATTATTTATGCATGGTTTATTCGCATCAGTTTCAACGAAGCGCTTATAATATGCACCGCGATTTTCATTTAAAATGTAGGAAAGAACGCATTTAAGGCGATCAAGAAGTTGGCTACTTTGCAAAATTTAATTTGAAGGAAAAAGTCCTTGGCGACGCAAACCGGCGTTTCTTTCCTTACTGTTTGTTGACCGGCTAACTCGTTTAAAACTCAAATAAAACTATTATTCCGGTACACGACTGCATAGAAATAAATTATAAAGATTTAAAAAAGTTATAAAGTTTAGAAACATGAAAAAAAAGCAACTTTAAGAGAGATTAAACTTTAAGTTAAACAGTTGGTTAAATACACTTTAAACGCGTTACATCTGCAAGTATCAATTGATATTCGTTCAAATAGATTAAAACGCAACAAGTACTGATTATCAGCGGAATATTGGATGCCTTAATGTAATCGCGAAATCTCTGTGTAGCGAGCGCGTTCGCCTCAGCAAACTCAACTTTTTTAGGTTTTTTTTCTTCACGAAGGAAACGCTCGCATGCTGTCTTTTTTAACGTCAAAATTAAAGTACAAGATGCGGAATTGTGTCACGGTGTCTGAGCTCATTAAGAGCGGAAAAGCGGACGATGTAATTCATAATAATACCTTGGAAAGATGATTGTTGTCATTGATGCTTTTTTTTTCTTTGTTCGCGCGCGTTTAGCACCGCCCACTTCAAAACGCCTCAAACTTTCCCTCAGATTTGCCAGAGCTGTCAAATTCAGATGAACTGTGATTTAACTAAATTTTCCATTAAACTAACAAGCTGACGCCATTTTAATGTTAAATAATATTTTTAATTAATTAATTTTGCAAATGCTTTTATCAAAGCTGCATTCATGCTTTATCATAAAATAAAAGTATCTGTGTATGTATACTATAAAAACTGCAGTTCCTTATTGGTGTTTTTTTCTGCTCACACCGACCCGCCCACTTGAAAACTCTTCAAATTTTCCTTCTCAGACCTACTATACCTGTCATCTAAGATGGTGTACTGTAATTTAACTAACTTTATTATCACAATCTTCTCATTAAACCATCTTTTTAAGCCTTTGATGTTAAACAGTATTCATTTTGCGAACACTTTTATCAAAAGCGCCTTGTAGTAAAATAAAGTTATACATTATAATAAGCAAGTCTGTGGAGACATAACCAGTTTACCTCTGTTAAAGAATGTCTTTATTAAGCAGTACGCCCACTTTGCAGAGGTTTAACACAAATATATAAGGCTGACAAGAAAACGATGTTGTTTTGCCACCCCTCTGAAGTTGAAACCCATTTCTGCCATGGTTCTAAATCTTTTGAGGCTCATTATTTACCCTAAAATCTTATTTTTAATGAGCCAGTTGAGGACAAAACCAGGAGTCCAGTCTTGGCCAAGAGTTGGTTGTTTCTACATGCTAAGACAAGTCTAAGTGGGCCTGTAAAAAGATGCAGGCTGGTGCTTAAAGAGCCACACGGTTTGCCTGGAATAATACTACACTTTATAAAAAAACTCCATCATCGACCATGGTCGATTTAATGGAAAAATTTATGAGGGGGCACATTTGTTCATATGCTCACTGTATGCGCCAAATAGGCTAAGCAGTAAAGCTATGCATTTTATCTTCTCTTTTTTTAGCCTTCAGTCTGGAGTGCACAAGCTTGAAGTTCACATCTGAAGAGCTCATTGGAAAGGAAGAGTTTTATTGCGGGTGAGACACGTTTAACGGCGCTTCAGGAGTCACACAGCAGAGACCAATGGGAGTGTGGAAGCTAGCCAAGGTGGTGCTCGGATGGGCCACGATCTGGTGGGCCGCGGTCCATTCGGCGCAGGCGCAAGGAGATGGAGACATCCAGGCCAGTCGATTCACTGGAAAACCTGAGGGGGAGGTGCAACAGAGGGTCCGTCGGAGAGGCCAGGAGTCCCTCAGGGGGTAAGAGTTTTTTTTCTTCAGTCATGTCCTGCTCCTGTTCTACGTCAGTTTCATTCTTGAAGTGGACACTCTAATGGCTTAACCATATGAGGCGGAGGGTTTAACTCAACTTTTATTACCAGACGTACAGTATATTCATTTGGGGGTTGGTCTATCTCATCTTTAAAGCTTGAATTCGAAGCTAGCATCATCTTCTTTAAATTCACTTTTTAATGCAGTAGATTTATGTTGCAACCTGCTGTGCTGTTTGGGTTAGAGCCAAACTGGGTTGAAAGCATGATTAAGAAAGCAACGTATGTGATGGAGCCAGCTGCAGAACTCTGTTGTGAAGGAATTTTAAGTACTGAAATGCCTCAGTATGTTGGTCATGTCAACAGGAGTGTCATTTCCTACTGATAACATGCACCGTTGAAAGATATTATTGTTTGGTTATCATACATTTTACGTCTATATATGTCCAAGAAGAATGCATGGTGTTTTAGGTCTCTAGTTTCTGTTGAAAGTTGAGGTAAACACACTTAAATGTATTAAAAGATGAGTGATTGCATGATGGATGTTTTTCCAATCCCTCCAGTGGCTCTTGAACTTAGTGTCTGCATTCGTCTCCACAAAGCCAAAGCTGTGTATTTTTCTAATTTTTGGGAAAACAATGGCTGTTTTGTGTCGTGCGGCCCTCATATGTTCGAAACAGTTATTCCAATCATCCGCTCATCTGTACTTGCTTATAACTCCCCTGCAAACTGCAACTGGAAATGAGGTACTCTGATTACTCAGGGGGCTCCAACAAGGGACATTTGTTTTCAAGCTGGAGGTGAGAAAGAGCATTTCACAACAGAGATATGTCTCTAATTCTTGGATCCTTATTTAATCAGGAAAGGGTTTTTGCAGTTAAGGTCTGAAACAAATCTAGCAAGGCCAAACAGACACTTTGAGTCCGTTAGGACTGTAGAGACTGAAGTTCAGAAACAAAAGCACCATTTTGTATGGTACCCCAGTAGCAGAAATGGGAACAATAGTAGTTGACCTTTATCATAATCAAAAATTAGTGAACTGAACACTTTGGCCAATTTTCCAGGTAAACTAAGGGGGAGTATCTGATCCGGTCAGTGGAGCAGAACCATGTAGCACCGAGTCAATTGACAAATGTGCCACAGTGCCTTTTTGAGAGCCTATGCTTTCCTGTCCAACAGTTCCCTTCGTCAACATAAAGACCCTTCTTACAAATGTTGCAGTCTTCAAGAAAGGTCTAATCACCACCATGCACCATTTGTAATCCTATTTAGCATAACAACGCAGTGTAAGAACAGCCCTTAAGAACACTGATTATAATGATGTTGCACGAAAAAGCACATTTGATCTACTGCTGACCAATCAAGCCAAGTTATCCCAGGTCAGACGATTTAAGAGAGCTGCAGTAGGATTTGGATCTTACTGGCTCTCCTTGCTAAGCATAATTTGGCCGTCAGATTGGAGAAGTCTGATCACATTGCATTTGGGGGCACCTTAAATGAAGGTAAAGTCTGGGAGACTGCTGTAAAAGCAATGGGCTTGGGGTGAGAATATGATGATGTGGTTCTCGATGCCAACCCTGAGGAGTTTCGCCCAGTATAAAGCCAGCAGCATGCTCAGGGTAGATGTTTTTAGAAGTCTTGCTGGCTTGGCCAGGGTTTCTCTTCATTTGCTCAACATGTCTCCGAGGCAATGTCAGCTCCACTAGACTCCAAAGATGGGCTCCAGTTCTTCCAAAATGCTTGATGTTTGCATCCCCAGAGAGACTGAGTTCTTTGTCTTGGATTTATATTCTTTTAACAGCTAGAAGTGCATGCCAGTCAAAAGGAAAACAATCCTTCTTGGATCTTGAAGAGCTTGCTACAATCCAACAACGGTTTGTTGTGAAATTGTTCTTTGCAGAAATACATTTTTAAGTTTAGGAACAAAAAAAATTGCCTGTGGATATGGAGCCAACTTAGTTTTAAGGGACCCCACAAAAAAATTGAAAAGCAGTGTTTTTTTTCTCTTTTCAGTGGGGTTTGTCATCTAACCAGTGGAAAGGAAGATGCAGATCTGATAAGTGTATCCTTATGTGTGCATAATAGCATGCCCAGAAATTCTTATCGTCTTATTCTTATCAAATGCACTCATTGTATTGCAATAAACAAAAAAAATCATAACAGCTAATTGATTTCTGTTGTTTATTCCCGATACCATCAGTCGCTCCAAAGTGTCTTGTGGACCAGCTTATGCATGCAAGCAACAACATTCCCACATGGGACTTGAAATCATATGGAGCGACCCCCCTCCTCCCTCGTTGCATTAAAAGTGTGTATAGTCTAGACAGCAGTGTGATTGGAGTTCATTAGGGTCAGGGTCTTGAAACAGGCCTAGTTGGACAAGGAAAGGCCATAGAGATCCAGAGGCTTTACACATGGGAGCTTTATAATGTTAAAACAACCGTGCCATTAGCTCATTGGCTCTGGACTTAGCAGCAATCCTGGGGGCTGGGAGCAGATGCCTCTAAATTGACCTTTAACCTCTCTAGGAGTGGTTGCCGGTGAGACGAAATTGTGCTATCTTTGTCTAACCCTCTCTCCTTCGTCCTGTTAGGTTTTTATGACCTCACCGAGAACTGGCCAGAGGTCGTCAAAGAATCCTGATTTCCTATCTCAGCCTTTTCCTGACCTCATTGGAATTCAGTTTGCGAGGGGTTCTCAAATGTCGTAAAGTTGACCTGCTTTATCTGGAGATATTTGGCAAAGAATTGCTGGCAAATCTCAAATGGCCTTTCCAGGTATTTGCCTTGTAGCAAAGAACCCGTTACCAATTTATATCTCTCTTTGAGGTGCTGGTTCGTATTTGAGATGTTGGGTAAATATTCTTCATTTAGTATTAGTAAACACACCATACTGCAAATAATACATTTAGTAGTTTGCACATGGATTGCGTGTTTGAAATGCATTTTCTGGTATTCACTGCAGATACTTCTCGGCCACCCAAAGTAGTGTTCCAGCTTAAAGAAGTGCGAACACTGAAAAGTAGGGATGCACTGAAATAAATATTCTTGGCTGAAGCCGAAACGGAATATAATGAAACATTTGGCCAAAGTTTTTCCATTTTTTCCATGTCTTTTGCCAATTTTTCTCGACAATTGCTTTTCAAAGAAAAAAATAAATTACAAAACAATTTTAAAATATTATTCAGCCATTTTTGGGACCCCCTTCTTGAATCAGGCATGTGATTGGCTAAAGACAAAAAAGATGGAAAACTGGACACTTTGAGCAGCAAATCAGCATATTAGAATGATGGCACTGAAGACTGGTGTAATTATGCTGAAAATTCAGCTTTGATCACAGAAATAAATTCGATTTTACAATATATTCACATACAAAACAGTCATTTAAAATTGTAATAATATTTCACAGTATTACTGTTTTTACTGTATTTTTTACTTTATAAATAAATCAGACTTGCTGAGCAGAAAATACTTTTAAAACATTAGAAAATACTACGGATCCCAAACTTTTAAACACTATGTGTAAATGTTATAATAAATGTATTATTAGAGCTGTTGTAATTTTTCTCTTCATTATTATTATTTACAGAACAACAGTAAAATTAGAATACTAACATTGTTGATGGATTTCTTGCTTTTTCATAGAGCTTTTATTTTGGCGGAAACCCGCAGGAAGACTTCGGTGCTTCGAATTTGGGAAGATGTTTGTCGCACATATCACACTCTCACATCCATGCCTTGTAAAAATTTATAAAAAGGTTACCAAGCAACTGACGAGTAACACTGTTTAAGTGCAGATTTTCCTCGTGCTTTGGATTTTGAACCTTGGCTAACAAGCAGATAGCGCCGCGAGCTCGTGCAGCTCTGTCAGAATACATGCAATTCATGCGTGTATTAGAAAACATAACATTCTGCAGTTTATTTAGTAAGTGTTTAAGGCCATTTCGCAATTTCAGTCATCATTCAGTAAACAGTAACAACCACCCTTCCTCTTCTCATCAAAGACATGTGATGCTGTACTAAACAGTCTCTCACTGTCGGTGCTTGTAATGATTTTTGTGTCTTTCTCGGGCAGTTAAATGCTTCTCCACTGCTGACATGTTTGCTGCATTATAAAGAGTGCGTGCCTCTCATTCTATGCTGGTTGGTATTTGATCGCGTCACCAAAAACATCATTGTTCGGTACAATTTATACAGCATTTTCACTTATTTGGCTGAACACCGAAAGAGCTTTTTTTTTTGTTGCTATTTTCGGCCAAATAATTTCAGTTGCCGAACATTCGGTGCATCCCTACTGAAAAGCATAGGATATAAGAAAGAAGAGAACGGTTTGCGTCCAGGCATAACCTTCTTGGCATCATTGTGCATGAGTTTCAGACCTATTTTTTCAGGTTCCAGTTGAGAAATAAGACTCTATGGTTCCACATTGCTAATAATTCATCATCATCTGGCCTAATTTCCGCTGCTGCTTTTGTTTTCCGCGGCCCACCTCCCAAACCCCCAAACTTTTCACTTCCACTTGTTTTCTTTACCTCCCACTGATTCTTGCCCTTTCCCCAGCATTTTCCGTTTTCATGTTCCAACATCTAGCCCTCCATCGGCCTCTACACTTTCTGGCCCTCCACATCTCTCTTGGTTTCTGCTGTTAGCAGTTGTGTCGTCTGGCAATGCGGTTTGAAATCCATCAAAAGATTCAAACTACAGCTGGTCGTCCCCAGGTGACTGACATTTGTAAACATCTTGACTTGTAGAGGAAAGGAATTTATGTGTGTGTGTGTAGAAAGACAGATGTACCTTGTGTTTTTTTAAAGGTCCATTTACAGCAGGCTTAACTTGGTGCTGATAGAAATAAAACTGTTTTCACAGTGAGGGTCCAGGTTTGATGGAGATCCAAAGGGCTTGTTGGAAAGAAACTGTCAAAATGTCACATTCTGAGGGCGATTTGCCTCCAAGCTGTCAGTTACTAGTTGGTCGTCTTGGATTAAGTCACTAAACAGAGAGTCCCAAAACATGGTGCTGGGTTTGTTAACACTTAAGCAGAGAAATACTGAACTTCCGGTTTGGTCCTGTCATTAATCACATATATCATGACTAAACAGACACTTTTCTTTGGAACCAACTCTTGGTGAGAAAGTTGCCAAAAAACAGCTCATGGATGAGCGCATTTGGGAACGTAAGAGTAGCTTTAGTAAATAATTCTGTCTCAGGAAGTTTGGTTATGGTCCTACTCAAAACAAACTCTTTTCATGTAATTTCCCTGGAAAGTCCTTTGGGGCCGTTGTATGGATTGAGCCATATTTATTGCAAAAGGGTCAAGAGGTCTTTGAGACTGTGGATATTTCATTCTGTTGTATGTTTCTGAGAAACGTTCAGGAATAATATTTGGTTTCTGTAATTTAATGGACTGGTTTTCATTGTTTCAGGCCCAACGTATGTGGTTCCCGCTTCCACTCCTATTGTTGTCCAGGGTGGAAAACGCTTCCCGGTGGGAACCAGTGTATAGTTCGTAAGTATCTGCAATATTTCTTTTTAAAGTTGCATACTGAAGATGCCACTTACCCACAGTACACTTAACCACAAAGTTAGCATTTAGCCGTAGGCTAACTCTGGTTAAGGTTCGTGCACAGGGGTACATCGGGGGAAATCAGCAACTCACCAGTTCATGAATTGCTCTTTTCTGGGGTTTGACCCCAAGACCTTTAACCACAACACAACCTCCAAAAGATAAAGGCTTGGACCTAAGACCCAAGCTATGTTCAGAACCTGATACTAGCATACTGCACAGTAGGGCTTGGTAAAAAAATATTGATTTCTCAATTTTAGTTGATTCCCATTTTTACAAAAAGATATCAGTTCCTAAATCCCAAGAATCGGTTAGTGTAGCCTGTTTTCGTTTAATGAATGCATAATTGTAGCACGCCTTCCACCCAATAAATCGCAATAAGCATTGTGCTTTGTTACGTTTGATATGAAACAAAGTCTCAGATTTCAAATTCTGTTCATTTTATTACAATATTCAAAAAATAAATATGTTTTTTTGCGCTGTTTATTGTGAAGTGACAGATCGCTGTAGCGCCTCAGTTCAAAAGAAGTGGCAGCACAAAGCGCATGTTAACTGATCATCTCCTCTGCTTTAATAGCAGTTTCAGCACAAAATAAACATGAATAAACATCTGCAGGTATATTAAAAGAAAGAGTCAAACTTACCGAATTCCGTATCCTGTCTCATGTAATCGCTCAATCAGTGTTTTAACCACGGAAAGATGTCAGTATAACAGCTTGTAAACAATGTCACGTAACGTCACATTTACCACAGAAAAAAAACGTATTTGGTGACTCGTTAGTCAGCTAGAAAAATAAACTCTAAAGAGGAGCATTTTGCTAAATATATATGCACCATATAACATTCATTATAATTTTTACTCTTCTTCAAATTTTAATTTATGTTTGAATACATCTGTCAAGTTTTTATGACAGCCACCTTTCAAAAAACAAATTGGAGTAGAAATATAAATAGTCTATCTAATTTAAAGTTAAGTAATATTATAAAAACTTAGTTGAGTGTTTGCATACAAATTAGCTAATTTTAACCTTCAATATTATAATAATGTAGTACCAACTGTATTTTTTATTTAAATTTTTTTCATTGAGAAAATTTGCCATGTTCTGTACCTGATATACAGTATATCCAAAATAATCAACATTGAATCGAATCGAAATCGAATCGCAAGCTTGTGAAAAATAATCGATTCGAATCGTGAAATTGTGTCAAAACCCAGCACTACTGCACAATATGTTTGTGCAAAGAGTACGCAGTGTGCAACAAGTAATATGCCACATGATCTCACTACACTGCATGCTTTTGCACTCATGCAAATGTTCTGTCCAAAAACTACATATAGTTAATTATTCCTGTGTACTATCTACCTGTTTATATGCTAACAGATCAAAATGCCTTTGCTGATCACTTATCATGAATATTTGTCTCTCCAGCGATCTGTAGGAACTCGTGTGGGGACGGCTTTTGCTCGAGGCCCAACATGTGTACCTGCTCCAGTGGTCATCTTGCCCCTAGCTGTGGTGCGGCCGCCGGTGAGTTCAGTCATTTCGGTCTCATTTTGTGTCAAAAAAGCGCCCTGGGCTGTATGAAAAACACATTTTGACTAGTTTCTTTCTGGTTTTTGCCCATTTTGGTGATTTCATTCATAGGCATATTTTAGAAAAAGAGGAACTGGATATGAAATTACTTCTTGCATTGTTTGGAGCATGTGCGCTAACCACTAGGGCACAGCTTTGACTGTAGATGTGTTTTTTTTTAAATGATTCTCTCTACCCTGATTGCTTTCTTTTTGGTTGAAGGGCTTGTCATAATTTCAAACTTTTCCTTGACATTTCCAGCGATTTATTAGGTTGAGAGTTGAAATTGAGCAGAGATATGGCCAGCTGGAAATGCTGTGAAATCGCTCTGACAATGTACAGCGTTTCATCCTTTGACTCATTAGCTAAGCTAGGAGTGTTTTCTGTTGAGATATGTTAAATTTGAGAACATACGTCCGCCGGTGAAACCTTGCACCGAGCCTTTTTTATGACTTAGAAAAGCGTGCTTGATTTTGTTTAGATGGCGCTGGGAAAAGTAATGACTGTCGTTGTTCCCTGGATGAGGTGTTTAGCATTAGCACAGGTTTCTCTTACTGCACTTGCTCTCTGCCAATGGCGTCCAGCCGTTTCTCAGCGAATGCCCGGAATATGTGGTCATAGACAAATAAACCCAAATGCACCAAACCATAGGGTTCGGTCTCGTAAGCTGTAAAACCAGAGTCAATTTATTCGGCAATGAGAAATTGACCATCTAATTCGGCTGCCAGTCCTCTTGACTGTTTGAAAGCAAATGCTAAACATACGCTTGTACTCTGTTTTGGCAGCCTTATGGGATTTGCGAGATCGGTGATGCTGTCATTACGCCTACCCGACCGCGTACCGTCTGCAGTGGTTGGGAGCGGCCACATTTATGAGTCAGCTATGAATCTGCAATTACTCCATAAATAACAAGCCGCCACACGGATGTTAGCCGTAGCCATTAGCGTCCAAATACCGCAGCTGTGCTCCAGATACTGTAACGCTAACCTCTTCCTCTTCATCACTAATGTCTGATTAACATACATCTGAATTTTTTATGTTAGGCCATCAGCAGTGTTATTTTAGTATCATTAATATACTAGCTTTCAAAATAAATGTAAAAACAGTAAATAATGTCATTTTTAAGAGTGCGAGATAAAAAGTAAAATCAGTAACTTTTTTTTTTTTTTCGTTTCGTTTTTTTCGTTTTTATTATTATCTTATCCAATTTAGATAAACTTTTAGTAATTTTGTTGTTTTAGTCATTTTATTGTTTTTTGTTAACCCATTGCACGTGTTAACACTAGCTAACTACAATAGTTAATGAAAAATACTAATTTTAGTTCAAGTTTCATTGCAACATTTATTAATACATTATTAAAGTAAAAAGTAAAAAATATTTTTAATGGAACTGAGCTGACATGAACTAACAATAAATAGTTGTATTTTTATTAATTAATGTTACCAAAGATGAATGAATTCTGTAAAAAATGTATTGCTCATTAATTGTTAGTTAATGTACTTAATGTTAACTAATAAGACATTATTGCAATGTGTTACCAATATTAATAGTGCTATATTAGTGCTTCAGCTTAAACTAAATAAAAGTGAGATATGTTGCCTTGGAGCTAAATTAAATATAAAAAAGTTTTGTTTTAGATATTTTAGTATTTCAATTTTTTTAAAAATTGAAATTAGAAATGTTGCAATGGCAACTAACTAAAATAAGTTTAATTTTTGTTGTAGTTATTTTAGTACTTAAACTAAACGAAAATCCGAAATGTTGCCTTAGCAAATAACTAAAATAAAAACAAGTTTAAGTTTTGTTTTAGTAATTTTAGTACTTCAACTTAAAATAAACAAAAATGATAAATGTTTCTAATTTTAAACTAACTGATATAAAACGTTTAAAGAGTTATTTTAGTTCTTAAACTTAACAAAAATTAGAAGTGCTTTTATTTCAGTTAGCTTAAAGTTAAAAAGTTTAAGTTTTGTTGTGTTTGTTTTAGTTTAAACTTAACGAAAATCTTAAATGGTACCTTGGCAACTAACTGAAATAAAATGTGTAATTTTTG